AAAACTAAAGGTTATGGTTTGATTGTCAACATTGTGCTACTGAACTAAGCCGGTGCCTTCACAGATTAAAATGTTGTTGTTTCTGTTAATTTTCTGATATTTATGGCAAAGCTTCCCAGAAATCAAAATTCAAGTACAAATTTGGTAGCCTGTCATTTGGCTAATGCAAGGAAATTTTGTGGAACCTCAGTAGAGCTCCTGAGACACTCCACAAAGTTTCTCCCTTTCCTCCTGGAAAGGCATTAGATGAATTTGTCCTATTTGGCTTTTACCTAGTAGAGTAAAACTAGAAGGGAAGCATTGTCACTTGGGAAAACGGGTAATAACACCTTGACCTGATATGGATGTAAATTGTCAATGATGATTGTCACCTTGTAATATTGTATACTTCAATTGTTTAATATCTACAGGAATTGTTTCTGAAAATATAGGGAGAAAAGGTCTCAACAGATTCCTATTGATGGAACTGTTGAGAGTAAAACTTTTCTAAGGACTGAATAGACTTGGAAATACACCTCATATTTACTAAGTTTTCCTTGACATAATACTCATGATTTTTTTGCATTTTGTTCTAAATCCACAAAGTTTTCTTGTTTTGGTAACCAGGATCTGCAGAAAGGTTGTAATTTTTTTCCAGCAAAGCTAACTTGTCACATTTTCTCTCCCCTTGATACCAACACAGCATACAAATAGTGGTAGTAATTTTTGCTACTTATTTCAGAGTCTGTTTTTGCATAACTTCCATAGGGATTTTGTCTGTTTTAACGAAAATTGGACGTGAGTTTGATTGTGTGGCTTTGTGTGGAGTTCTTCCAGAAAGTTGAAAAAGAGCTGAACCAAGAAGAGGAGAACCTGTTTGCCTTGTTTGTAGGGTTCCAGAGACCTCCAAAGAAGGTGAGGAAGCTTGCCTCCATTGGCAGGACTGGACAACCCGGCCAACGAAAATGCCCTGGTACCCTCGAGAAGAGGAAAGCCCAGGTGGAGTCTGATGAGACCAACTTTATACCTGAAGCCTGCATCGACCAGATGCCAACGGTTCGCTCTGATCCTGTATGGAATATTTCAACAAAGCCAGCTAAAATTGCTGTTAGTTATTTCTACTCTGTGATTTTATGCAAAAATAGAAAAATGGTTTAAAAGTAGATCTAGTTTGCAAACTTTTGCTTTGCTGTTAAAAGTTTGGGATCAAGGTTGAGGAAATTTGTGTTTTACATAAGTTGAACCATTTTAACATTTTTTCCCTGTGATTTTGATATATTTTCTGTCTTGTTTTAGCTAACGCTCCAATTTTTTTTTTTCTTTTGGCTGGTATAATGGACTATTTTTAAGTAATGAAACTGTCATACTGGACATTCATGGACAATGCTGCTGACTAATTGTTGCTTCTCTTACACACATTGTAACCCTAAAAAAGACTGTCTCCTAAGACTACACCCTGAAATTGTGCCACCATAGATATGGTGGAATAAAAATTAAAAGGGGGGATTGTAACAGGGTGGTCCCCAGGAAAGGGGGAGGTTCCCTGCCCCACCCAAGGGAGGGTGGAGCTGAGCAGGAAGAGGAGAAGCTGCAGAAGAGACTGAGGAAGGAAGCAGGATGGAGCCAGAAGGAGACCTGGAGGAGGCACATGGAGCCTAGAGACACGTGAAGAAACTGTGCTTGTCTTTTGGTCGTGGACTGGGTGACACAGATGTGGGTGAGACCCGTGGGGAGGTGACAATGGCAGCTTTTATCTTGATGTTGATTTTGCTCTTTTCCTTCCGGACTTGTCCGGTTGTTTGTGACCCTTCTCTGTGGGTCCCCACTGGAAGATGCTTTAGACTTTTAGCAGGCTTTGGGGCTTTGCTCTGCGCCATTCCCATATGGATGGACTTTTACCCACGAGGGGATGGGTAACTTTGGGTGCTTCATCTAGAAACTAGATTATTTGCCTTACCTGTGTTGTTTCCTAGTTTAATTAAAGTTCCTTCCCATTAGTCTCATGTGTTTTGTGTTGATGCGGCGGATGGCAGAACCCATGTAGAATAGGCAGGTTTACAGGGTTTGGGCTGACCCTCTCCCTGTCCTATAACAATAGCTTAAGAGAGATGCAAGACCTAAGACAAAGCTAAAGAGTTCCCTTTTTATCCTTCCCTTCTAGGCTCAGGTGTATGGTATGTATTTATATATGCACATGCCCGTGCTTTCTGGACCTGGGTGTCCATAACCATAGGCTTGGGTGCCCACACCTCTCAGCCCTGGGCATCCACAACCTGGGAGGAGTGCAAGACCACAAGTGCTGGCCCTAGAGGTCAGCAGCAAGAGGGCAAAAAAAGCCTGAGCCACTCCATTTTCCCTACAATAATGAAGAAGGATTCAGAAATGAAAAGACAAAGAAGAGAAGAAAATAAAATAACAGAAAGGGAGAGAACATCTTTTAGTGGTGTTCTCTGCATTAAACTACTGTCTTCACTTACAAATTCTGGCTGGTTGGTTCTAGCTTTCCCCCTCTCTCCCTTGATAGTCTTCACCCTATCAGGGCTCTCAGGTGTTCTCTCTTTCTAGGCTTCTGTTCTGCTTCTCTGCTTCTCTTCTGTTAATGTGACCCCGCCCTTAAAAGCCCAGTCTTAGCCCAGGTGAATCCCATCTACATATGCCCACACCCTATTCCAGGTGCCTGCCATCAGGCATGCATTCAGGACCACAGGGTTCCATCGTCTATCCTAATGGCGGGAGGGCTATAAACTCTTTCTGATTATTTGCTATTTGCATATAGATATATTGCTATGTAACAATTTGCTCCCAAACCTGGCAGCCTAAAACATCATCGTCTCAAAATTGTGGTAACTATGTGTTGCTATTTTTCCCCTTTCCATTTGGGATTCCAAATTTGCATTAAGATCTGCTGTCAGTGATTAACCCCAGGATGAATCCCAGGCAGTTTCCCATCCCATTTAACTGAGTGTGGGCCTCACAGGAGGATTCTGACAGATGTGGTCCCCTTAGTGAGTGCAGGTGGTACTCATGAATAATGAGTGAGAGCTTGCATCTGTTCATCTCTAATGCAAAGTAAGCTCATTAGCATTGCATCTCAGTGCATTTCATTGCTGGGACTTGGAAAAGAAAGGCACTGCTTAAAGGATGGGTGAAATTTTCTCTGCTTGTCTTTATGTTTTTCCTTTTTATATTTGAGAGAAAAATAAAAAAAAATCTCTTGAATTGAAAGGGCAGAAGCAACACCTTCCTTGGATTCTTCAGATTTAAACTTCTTATACTAATCTTTTTTCTTTTTGATTTTTGAAAATGTCTGAGTTTTGAAAATACTCCCTGTAGGGGCAGGATGGACACTGAGCAGGTTTTCTGATCCAGCAGACGGGGTAAAGGAGAAGTCCCGGAGCCCTCGGTGGCTTTTGCAGGCTTTTATTGGGATTTACCAGGCATAAGGCAGACAGGGGTGCTGGGGGGCCGGGAGGCTGGCCCTATCTGTCTTCACCCTATCTGGCGTCTCTGGCGTTCTCTCTTTCTCGGCTTCTGTTCTACTTCTCTGCTTCTCTTCTGTTTGTTCCCGTGACCCCGCCCTTAAAAGCCCAGTCTTAACCCAGGTGAATCCCATCTACATATGCCCACACTCTATTCCAGGTGCCCACCATCAGGCTGGCATTCAGGACCGCAGGGTTCCGTCATCTATCCTAATGGCAGGAGGGCAGAAAAGCCTACACTCCCCTTCTTTATAGTCTATTTAACATAGGAAGTGTTTGCTTGAACATACCATTGGATGTCTATCAAGCTTCTGATATTAGAAATTTCTTGTAACATTTATTTTTTTTTTCTTGTAACATTTAATAAGAAGTACAATACTCACATTTTCAATCAGTGGCATCGGTTCAACCTGAAGAACCCTATGCTTTTTGTAGGTTCATTTATGTGATTCTGGAAATAAACTTATCTTAGGCAAGCCAGTGAGGTTGCTTGCATGAGCTAAAGAGAAAAAAGAATGTTCCTCAAAATAACTCCTGATGAAGTTTGTTCAGAGATGTTAGTTGTTAGGAGAGCCTAAGCTTATGAGAGGGAAATGGGCTTAAAAATTACTAATAAATTTCTTTGATGTGTGATTTTAAATGCAGAGGTAGCTTACAGTAGTTTGTACTTTCCTTATTTCTTGTTAGTGAGGACCTTAGAAATGCTCTGTTTATGTGACTGCATAAAATAAGAAGGCAAACAGCCTGGGTGGGCCTGCAGAGGACGCAGGTGCTAGGTTCTTCAGTCACACCCAGGATCTCAGGGTTAAGTCCACTTGCTTATACTGAGTTCTTAGGTTTCATTTTTTGCTTCTCAGTTGTGTTATAAAATCTCCAACTGGAAAGGGCTCAGTTACCAAAAGAGGGGAAAGAAAATAGCTCGCTAAATAGATATTCCTGCCAGACATAAAATATCAAAATTCAGCATTTTCATCACAGATATGGTGAAGTTTGAAATTCTACAGTGAAGAATTAGGAGCATATAAGAGGTTTCTCTTTTATCAAACCATTTGGTACTAAACATAACATACTTCTAAGTAATCTTTTTGTTAAATTTATATTTAATGAGAGTATTTTGACAAATTGGAAAGTGAAACAAAGCAGAAATATTGACTTGCTGATAACAGCAAGGTAACAGTTACGTTACCTTAAAAAGACAGATTACTTGATGGTTTGAAGTGTGAAATAAAAAACTAATCCTGAGAAAAGCCCATTTTGTTAACTTTTTCTCTTATTCTCTTTTGGCTTTAAAAACTGCTACTGTAACAGGAAGGGAACTGACCACACAAGGGCTTAAACAATAAGTGATCCCTGACCCACAAGAAGAAAAAGCTCTGCAATGTAGGTTTCACACATGGTCCTGAATGCCTATTCTATGAACCTAATAGTTTGAGAGTTTCCAAAAATACAGTAAATGTTTTTTAAATATAATTTTTTTAAGTTTTTATGGTGATTATATCTTTTCTGATTAAACATACTCATTTTAGTTTTTCCATTTTGCAGATGAAAGCCAAAAAATTCTAATATGGTGCTTATGTTGTCTGGTTAACAAAGAACCACAGAATTCTGCAGAATTGAAACTTAACTCTGGGACACAGGTAAGAGAATAAATCTTGCCTTGCTCTGCTTTGACTTAAATTGCTTATTTAAAGGTGCTACTTCGACAGTTCATTTGTATGAAGTTTTAGAGAAACTTTTTCAAATATACCCTTTACTGTTACATTATCTTGTTGGGTGTAAAGTCATTCAAAAGATTCATTTTTGTTTGATTGTAAATTCCATAATATACTGTTCCTCGGGGTGAGTTTTCTCATGCCTACAAGACCTAATGTTGAGTAATTTTGAAAAGTTACTTGCAGGTAATTAAAGAATGTACTTTATTTCCTTTTAGCAAAAAATTGTTTCATGGATACCTCTAGGGCCAGCACTTGTGGTCTTGCACTCCTCCCAGGTTGTGGATGCCCAGGGCTGAGAGGTGTGGGCACCCAAGCCTATGGTTATGGACACCCAGGTCCAGAAAGCACGGGCATGTGCATATATAAATACATACCATACACCTGAGCCTAGAAGGGAAGGATAAAAAGGGAACTCTTTAGCTTTGTCTTAGGTCTTGCATCTCTCTTAAGCTATTGTTATAGGACAGGGAGAGGGTCAGCCCAAACCCTGTAAACCTGCCTATTCTACATGGGTTCTGCCATCCGCCGCATCAACACAAAACACATGAGACTAATGGGAAGGAACTTTAATTAAACTAGGAAACAACACAGGTAAGGCAAATAATCTAGTTTCTAGATGAAGCACCCAAAGTTACCCATCCCCTCGTGGGTAAAAGTCAGTTGAAGTTATTACTTATGTAATTCCTTTCAAAGCATTTCTCTTCTTCTCTCAGAATCTATTCTGAGGTAAAACCAAATTTCAGAATTTCCCTGGAAGCAACAGTCTTTACTTTATGTCCTAAAGTTGGCATCTGGGCCAGTATGCTCAGACTGGCACCTGGTGCTAGTTGGCAACTGCTGCTCACACCATCAAATCTGTCACCAACTGTGCAGGTCCAGATAGCTGATAGCTTCCTGCATGTCCTTGTCTGTTTCTGCTTCCTTTTGAAGAGCAAGCAGAAGTTACAGAATATTGTCAGGCTGGGCTCTAGCTGCCCTCTCCACCAACAAATTGATGGTTCTTTGCTGTTACCCCCCACTGTCCTCTTACAGTAACCCCAAGGACTCACTGATGCCTGTCAGACTCCACTTACTATGCATATGGTTTAGATTAGCAGCTTAGTATTATGAAATCACCCACCCAGATTAATGCACATGGTTTTGTCTATCAGTCTGACTGGTGGTATCATTCCATTCACTGCTTTTTACCATTGCTTTGTTTTATACAAAATTGCTGACAGATGATAATAAGAAGTATTTGCATTTTCCCTTAGATTGGAAGTAGAAGAGTGAAGAATGCAAAATTTCGTTGAACAGAAAATTAATATAAACAGCAGAAAGAAAGAACTGATTAGAACTATTAAGGGAAAAAAACAATGCTATAAAAATGAAAAGATATATTTACTCTCTTTTTTTTTAAACTTTTGCTTCTCTTGAGTATTTGATATTTTAGTGATTATTTAGGATATGGTTTTGTATTGATAAGCTCATTAAGTGCCAAAATAGACCATCTAATAAAAAGTTTTTAGGGTGATTGATGAACTTTCTTCATTGATGTAATGATTTTATTAGCCTATTTTAAAATATCTACCCTTTCACTTTATTCTATGGGTTTTCCTTTATTTAATACTAGGGTACTTACTAAGTCTAGCACAAGAAGGTAATATTAAAATAATTCCTAACTTTGGGGAGTTCACAGACTGGTAGCCAGATCATTCCAGGACAGCATGATTGGGTTTTTTGTAGAGCTGTGTGCAGGTGAGATGTTAACACAGAGTAGGGACACTGGCTCAGACGTAGGGATTTGGAGACATTTCCTGAGGAAGCTGTATTAAATGCATTTGGAATTTTGTGGTACTATTACATAAATTTTGGAATCTACTTGTCAGGTTTCACCAAAAACCAAAATAGCCTCTATGACTTTGATTGCCATTGTAATCAGTCAATTTAGCCAGTGGTCACTATACCTTCGGGCAAAATTTATTTTGTCAGCTGTGTTTACTGATAGAAAATTGTACACTGTATCTGGCACAAAAACTTTCAGTGAGTGAATGATTTATTGTGCATCATTTCAAAGAGTGTTCCTAATAATTTTGAAGAATTTTTGCTGACTTCTTATGAAGCTGATGGTGTTAATAGACATCAGCCCTGCTGTATCTTAATTGTTCACTTGTATTGCATAGTCTGACTTCTTTACAGGAGTCTTTTTAAGCCATGTGTCCATTTGATGGTTACTTTAGTGAGACAGAATAATTAGCAATTTTCCTTGGTGTTCACATAGAAACTATAATGTATATCCTGAAAGTGAATGAAAGCCTGAGGGATCCCTCTGTGTGGTGGAGACCCTGCTCTTTTCTTTTTTTCAAAAGATTTATTTTTTTTAAACCTTTTTTTTAAATTGGAGCATGGTTTTATTTCTTTCTTTCTTTAAGATTTATTTATTTATTTATATAAGCACTGGGCATAGTCAGAAGCACGGGAGGGCGAGAGAATTCACCAGAGCCAGAGCTGGGAGCAGAGCAGGCAGAAGGACTGAGGTACACTGCTGAGGGGACCAGCGGGCGCGGCAAGAGAGGTCTGCGCGCCATGTGGGACCTTCGCTGGCGGCCAGGGATCGAACCGGCTCTGCAGAGGCCGCGTGCAGCTTCGCAGCCCAGTGCTCAACCACTGTGCCACAAGGAGAGGCGCCCCTGCTCTTTTCTTAAGATAATGCTTTAAAATTTGTAAAATTGTACAATTTGTAAATTGTAAAATTTGTGTCTTGTGACCATCTTACATCTGGACTGAATGAGGCTGCAGTGTTGATCCATTAATGAAATGTCACTGAAGTTCAATTTCATTTTACCTATAAAAGCTTTCAAAATTTTCTTCACATCTCAATGGATTATCTGTGTACAGCTGGGAACGCACATCCCCCGACTTTATTAACTGCTAGTCTAATTAATAAAATCCACATGCTGCCTTGGTATAGACAGCTACCCTTGACCTTTTCTCCATCTCATAGCCTTCTGTTTCTTATTCTTTGCACACTACACATTTGAACGTCATCCTATGATCTTACTAGATTCTGGGATCTTACCACATTGGCTCCACACATGGCAATATATTCTCGTATTCCTTTTCCTCTCCTTTTAATTTTTTTTTTTTACCATTGTTTTACTGGAGAGCCAGGAAATATCTTTCCTTTCTCTTATTCTCCCTTAGTAGAATTGCTCTGACCACATATTGCCTATATTTCTTAATACTGAAAGGAATTGTAGATATCTTTTACCATGTTGAAAGGCAGGAACAGTGTCATAGTAATCCTAGTAGCCAAAGCTTCTTTAGCTTCGTGTTTACCATTTACTGTCTTATGCTCAATAAATGTTTGTTGGACATATTACTGTTGTTGAATGAACAAATGGTGTGTTGATTTTTTACAAATCTTAATTTTTAGCCAGTTTTTAAAATCGATGCTTCCTATATACTGAAGAACAAATGTATTATTCTTTTAAGTGGAAAAATAAACCTCTTGTTATTATCAATAAATTACTGTTCTGAGCAGACATCATTTCCCACAAGTTTGGCAAGTGTGTGTCAGCATGAAAGAAACTGTTCTTTGTTGCCCTGCTGAGGAATAGACTGGGAACCCCTGCACTGGTGGCTCTTTGGGAACGATCTTGAGTGTCTTCCTCTATACTGACTTTCTTCTACTCTTCTTAACAGTAAAAGAACTTATCATTTGTGTGTGTGTGTGTGCTTTTCCCCAATCTATTTCAAGTGTGGTACCCAGGACCTGAAAATCTGTGCTTGTGCTTGCTTCTCCTTCTTGCAGTTACAGGCTTCTCTTCACCCAAGATACTCTTCTATCTTGTTTCTTGTTCTTGCCATCAGAACATCTTTTCTGCTTCTCTTTATCAGTTTTACGTAATGTCCTCTTGATTTTTCTTTGCCCTTTGTGCACTTTAGTGGCTATTTATCCTGTTGGATAGTAAATACTTTACCTTTATATCTCATTAATTCTTATTAAGTGTGTTTTTTATTTCTGGGGTTTTAGTGGACCTCTAATGTCTATCAGTACTGCAGATGAACAGATCCACTGCAGTGAAGGAGTGAGCACCCTCTATGTGAAAGGCCTTAAATAAGTACTTTTCATCGATGATAAATTCTATGCCTCACAAGCAACCCTGACGGGGAGGTATTCTTGGTCTCGTTTTAATGAATGAAGAAATAGAGACACAGAGCCACCTATTCAAAATACAATCTGTTTATGTGTTGTGACTGCAATTCAAACCCAATCTATGCGACTTCAAAGCTCAGGTCCCTTGGATCAAAGCATGTCAATGCAAAGGTATAGAGCTGAATAGCTCAAATTTGGGGGGAATTTTTAATTTCAAACACTTTGGTAGGGCCTCCATGGTGGCATAAGGGGTTAAGAAGCAACCTGTGAAGCTATCCGCAGCCACTGCAGCATGAGTTTGATCCCTGGCCAGCCAGGGAGCTACCCACATGGCACAGCAGACCTCTCCTGACTCGCCCGCTGCTCCCTTCAGCAGTGTATTTCAGTCAATCTGCCTGCTCTTTTCCCACCCTGTCTCTGGTGAATCCTCTCACCCCCCACACCTCTGGCCTGTACCCCAGTTCTTGTATGCATAATAAAATAAATCTTTAAAAAACAAACAAGCGAACTCTTTGGTAGATATATATATTCTGATTTTCAGTTTGGAGAAAAAGGGCATTGTATCATAAAACCATATGTTATATTGCTATCCCTAAAGTTAAAGGTCTTATAGCAATTTTTAGGCAAAGAAAAATAAATTGAGGTAGAATTTATTTTTATTACTTTTCCCCTACTTATTCTTGTATTGGAATCTAATAAGCATTGGTTCTTGTGTGAATCCCAACTTATATGTTTTATTGTAATGCATCATTGTCAGGGCATTTTACAGAGCATGTCCATCATT